AAGATGACCGTTGAGGTCCCTCACCACCCTACGAGTCAAAAACACTGGGGGTAGATTGCTTAGATTTAGCTTGGGCATTGCTACACTACACTGTGCTCTGCAATGCAGACAGATCCACAGTTATCCCATGGCAGAGCCAGGATAAGGGCACCTAAGTTTTCCCACCCCACCTGGAAAATCCTACGAACTGGTCCCGCACTGCCTCTCCTTTTATTCCTAAACTGCTATCAGAAGAGGCAGTTATCTTGAAGTACAATGCCTATTTTTCCCCCTGTGAATGGATCTCCACCACTACCAGGTTTTGACCTAGCTGCACGATGAGCTTGCAGTGAAGCAGCCAGTTTGTCCCTGGCAGCTCTTAAGCAACCTCACCATGATATAATCCCAACAGGGCCACCTCGCAAGTCATTGGAAGTGCTGCTTTTCATTTCCTGGACAAGGGTAAAAGTTAATAAACCTCCTGCTATTTTAAGAAGAGCCTTTGACTTAAGTCCTGGGCCTGAGAAAGAACTTAGCAGAAAATAAATAACTAAAATAAAAGCCATCCAGCTCAGAAGCCTCTATTCCCCAATGTGAGAGTCAATTAGTTATAATCAATTAAATAAAATTAAGGGAAACCAGGCCACCGGGGGATGGGGGAAAGAGAATGATAAATGAAATACCAGTCTAGCTGTAGAGTGGGAGGAAGGGAAGCGAGGCGGGGAGGGGAGGGAGGAGGTCACCAGAGAAAGAACGAAATGGAAGCAATTGAAAAGAAAAGTTCCATTTACAAACTCTCCTTATTGCAGGGAGAGCGGAGAATGCCCTGATGTGTCAGCCCCTGAGGCCTTTGTCAAGCCTTTTTCAATTGATTTAATTTTTCTGCCTTCGCCAACAATTTCTGGTGGGCCTAGGGAGGTGGTTAATTCACAGAGACCAGCGCCTGCGGTGTGCCCTGCTTTGCATCCCCCAGTGCAGCCGGCATCACCTACTCTGAAACAGGCCTCTACAATTTCTGTTTTCACATCTATTGGGATGTTCTGTCCCATTAAAATTAAATTTGAGACTCCTGCAAGGGGCTCCATGGACAATCCTGGACACTGAAATCCACTGTACAAATGCATACCCTACAGCCTCAGCAGCAGCTACAGTCTCCTATGAAGTCTCATTTTAACCTAGATGGATCCTCTACAGTGCATTGCCAGGCAGGTTATGAAATCACTATAATCAGGAGAGTATTCTCCTGTTCACAGTTTATAAATTGTTGTTGCAGTAGCTAACTTCACAGAGCTATCGACTCCAGCATCCTGGCTCAAGTTGTGTGTGTGAAGGGCGCTGGATGCAGCTTTGTCTCCTCCCATTTTGTGTAGGCAGCATACACCGATGGGGATGTTGCTACACAGAGAAGTTACGTGGCTTGTCCAGGGTCACAGAGAAAAATCTGTGGCAGAGTTGGGAACTGAGCCTCTATCCCTCAGCTCTTGGCTTTGTACTGCAATCCTATGGCCATCCTTGTTTCCCCCAAGTTCAGTTTCAACTTGCGCCAGATAAACCAGCATCAAGATGCCCGGAGTGGTATCACATCACCCTTCTCTGTCATTCTGCCCCACCATTTCTGCAGGAGCAACGCATTCGCAAGGCATGAGTCACTCAGTCACAGCAGGTCTTTTTAATTGAGGACACTTGCCTCAGAGTAATTTGAACTTTCAATTTCTTTCTTTAATGAAAATGATTTCATTAATTTCAAACCACAAAGGTTAACCTATAGCTCCCTAGGTTCTCGCTTTTTCATCTCTCTCTTCCCATGCCTGACATTTGCTACATCTTAAGGAAGAATCTTCATTATCAACTAAATGATGCCAAGGCACCACACATGCCCCTTATTCCCTCAAGCTTCATTTGGTAACTTGATTGTTTGGCCCTGCATAAAGATAGATCACATTACAGATATCCAAGTCCCAAGAGTCTGTGGCTATCCTCCAGCATATCCCATTTGTGTGCACTCACGCCAGCCAACACCACTTGTTCTTTATACTGTTCTGGGAACTGCTTCTCCCAGAAATTAGAGCATGGTATTGGCCAATGAATAAGGACCAACATGAGTCAATCCTGGGTGTAACTTCTATTTTTGAAGCCACTGCCCCCAAAAGCATCGATCTGGATGGAAGAATCCAAATATTAGAACTCCCCACTGTCACTCCCGAAGCCTGGCATTTTGGAGGTCTCACTACATGCTGGATTTATCTGGCTGCCTTTTGCTTCTTCTCAACCTAAACACTTAACTCCCAAATTATCCAGTTTTATAATGAACACCTCAAATGCAGACTGAAGCATGAAGATTATTTTGTAATTTAGGTTGCTGATTTACATTGTTGTAGCA